TTCGCAGCTAAGTTCTCGAGTTACAAACAATGATACATGAGAAAGATATAAGAGGCGATAATATTAGGTAACGTCAACATTGCACATAAGCTAACTCCACACCTTACTTTGCCAGCATCTCAGTTTCAAAGTCTCGTGCGACGTGATAGATTTGCTGAAGGTAAATGAGCAGAGTTAAATTATTTTAATGCATTCCTATCACATGCGACTCGTAGTATAATTGACGTAAATAAAAACGTCGGTAAAGGAGGATCAAAAGGATCAAAATGTATCAAGATTAATCCGGGAGTACCGGATTTTTTTTATCAATGATCACTTAGGGTAATTTTTCCCCAATTAAAAGTCATTGTTATTAATTATATATTGCATATTTTTTATTGTTCTACTAGATTATAGCGCGTGCTTTGTGATGTTTTTTATTTGTTATTATCTATGCAAAAAACATTTGTACACTCGATCAATCGACTGAATCGAGACGACCAATCACGTTCGCAATAACACGGCAACAATTGCAAACGCGATTCGGCCAACTTCAGGATTTCATACCGCTTTTATAAGAGGCTACTTTACTAGTATTTGAGGACAATATGTGTATAAAGTTACTTAACATTTTCTGAAAAAAAAAGTAAGAAGGAACAAAAAATATTTAAAAACGAAAGAAAGAAGCACATTAAAATTACTGTCACGTAAGCTTTATTTTTTCGATACTAGGGTGTAAAATTCACCCAGGCGCTTCTCAAGTTAAAATGGCGATGAGCCGTCTCTATTGTGTGAAGTGATTGCGGACACGGCATGTTGCGGTGAAAAACAGGAAAAATCGTATTGTGACCGAACGTTGTGTTTTATTATTAATAAATTTGCCAGTTATGGTCAAGGAAGTTTGGTGATATTATTTTATATTCACTGGCGAAGAAAATTTCCCATTATTGTTAAAATCGTATTGTATTACACTCGGACTCCACATGTTTATTAATTATCGTATTCATGCGTTTCTCTCGTAAGTTTCCGTTGACAAGGACAAAGCGACGCTCCAGGCATTCCCGTGGCAGGCAAAATGACAGACAAGGCGCATAATTGTCTTTTAAAGGATTTCATGGGCATGACAAAATTCTGCACGGAGAAAATTTTATAGTAAATATTACTATGGTGTCGCACTAGCTGCGGACCATCGAGAAATTTCAAGTTAAAATACTATAATCATTGTTTTAAAAACAATTAAATAACGTAATTTTGACTATAAACATAGTATTTTAATTTGAAATTCCTCGATGGTCCGCAGCTAGTGCGACATTATAGTAATATTTACTATAAGTGAGAAATGTATATCAAAAACAAATTATTAGCTAATAAAATCGTAGAATACACACGATATACAATTTATACCAGTAAAATCACTCACAAGCGATAAAAAATACGCATGATGGTGACATGACGGTCACATGGTTTTGACTTATATTGCGATGAACTCATACAAAAAATACGCTATTTTGCACAAAGTAGATAAGATAATTTCGTCAAATCGATATCTTTGTTTTGCCGAAATAACTTTGTCGACCCAGTGAACCAATGCTCTTATTTAGATATAGCATTGCTATAAACATGTTTACACAGCATGTATAATTAATTGGTTTAATTAAATTGGGTCGATATTATTAGCTTCAAAAGCAACTAAATCTTTCTTTTAAATACGCGGTTGGATACACAAGTTAAATCTATGACTAAGTCACTGCTGCGGATCATGAATAATGGATTAGAAAAAAATAATGAGCAAAGTAACAGCCCACACGCGATCTAGACGCGCAATGTAATATGCGAACGTCGTCAGTAACGATTTTCTAGACAAGTTACTAGTAGTATCACGGCGACCAGGAGTGTTTATCGCGGTCGAAGTGTTTATAGCGGAGACAGTAAATTAACAGTAAAGATTTCACCATCGATCCGCCCGTCTTCCGGTAGCTGCAAGATATTTCGCGATTAATTTGGGAATCGTATGAGATAATGAAGTAACATCACGCGTGGAGAACATTTCGTGAGTCGCAATTCCGTTCTTTCCATCATTTCAGATTACTTATGTCGTGATAAAACTAATTAAATACAAGATACATATAAGTAAGAATACATATCGCTCTTTTTTTTTTCTTCTCGGCAAAATCTCGTATTGCGTGTAAAAATTTCTTTCTTCTTCCTTTCGCGAAAAGTGAACTAGTACATTGACCTGAATCGCAAGCTATAAATATCGCGTACCACAAGCTTATATATGAATGTAAGAATTGTGACATGAAGACGGCGTTCACTTTCGAGTTTCGCAATCGTTACGTGCCTGCGCAGTTTGGTAAAACATGTTTGCAACAATTAAGGTGCACCAAATGAGTACTTTGTTTCACTTTGATATATCTTTCTTTTATTTTCACAAAGTTTTTTTTATAGGAATTATTATAAACATGTACCATATATACACGTAACATAAATATTAAATAATAATAAGTGAAATCATTATGTTATACAATCAATTAGAGAGAAAAAAACAGGTTTGAACCCTGACTGATATTTTACGCAATAAATTCTTTACAGTGATTTGATAAGGATACTTGTTAGCATCCCTAAATCAAAATTTTAATTGATTTAATTTAAGTATGTGAACGTACTGTTCCAACAAACATCTATGTTTTAAAGACCGATAAGAAATCGGCACGCAGTTTACTGAATTTAAAGAAAGTATACAAAAATCACATAATATTATTATTATGGCTACCAAGATCCAATCCAGACCGTAAATGGCATTTTTCTCTGTAATTAATTATAGATATTAAATCTAGTAAAAAAAACGTATAAATAATATATTATTATTAATCTCCTAATCTACATTATCAGCACGTTCTTGCGCGAAAATGCAGTTATGGTGTCGTCGATATGAGCAATTTCACGTCAAATCAGAAAGAAATAACCTCGTATTTTTTTAATTGATTGAAACGTGAAATATACATAAAATAAGATAATACGTATTTTTTGGTTCGTTTGAAATATTTTTTTGCAGAAATTATAAGCAATAATACAATTTTCCTTAAAGCTATATTTTGTATTGTACTTAAAACTTTAAACATGTTTTTCTCAAAACAATATTTTTTCATCTATCTAGAGAACAGATAGTCCAATTAATTTCAAATTTTCAGGAAATATAAAACAGCCTTTCTATAACGGGAAAAGTCTCTTTCTGCCATAAACTAGAATTATTTTATTACAGCTTGTACTTTTTTGTTATTGCAAAAAATATGGCCAATTTTTGTCAAAAAATCGATGTTTAGTGTTCGGAACAACACACACTATGTTACTTTCTAATCTTTCTTTTCGTTTTGTTCTAGTTCATGCGCCACACACGTTAAGATTATATCCCACTTAAGTTTTTTGTTTCAGATTACCCAGAGACTAGTTAGGATGGTCGTCATGGAAGAAAAGATTTTTTGAAACAAAAAACGAAGATCTGCAAACGGATCTTTCAATAAAAAAAATTAGCAAAAAATTATATCTTACAATTAAAATATTAATCAACATCTATACAAACAAAAAATTAATCGGGCACAACAGTTTCTTTTAAAAAATTCCGGAAAATTCCCTATTTTTGAGCGTTTGCAACCGAAAATATAGCCTTAAAAATGAAGATATCGTAAACTTTAAAAATTAATATCTCTGGTTATATTTGTCGTAAAAAATCTTCAAAAATGTTTTTTAAAGCTAAAGAGACAATTAAAAAAAATATATAGTTTAAGTTAAGAAATTGCAAGTTTTAATTGTTATAAGCAATTAAAATGTTTAATTATTTTTCTTACCAAAAAGTACACTTTAAAAAATTTTTTTAATAATACTATATATTGCTTCCTCATGGAGGAAGCTTTGCGATGGTGAAAACAAATTTTTTCGAGATTTTAAAGAAAATAGATTTAGAATGTTCTAAAATGTATGGTGTCAAGAGACAGAGAAGTAGATATGCAGGAAAGAGCGGAAAAAATTGAAAACTCAAAAGCGTGTAAGGATTATAAAGATGTCAAAATAAGATGGCCTAGATATATCAAAGATTTGGGTCAGAAAAGGGAAGGAAAAGACAAGCCTAATAGCGAAAATGAGGTGTGAAAATGAGACAAAAGGGAATATGTATTGCATGAATGAGGAATGGAGAAAATGTAGATTATGCGGGAAAGAAAACGACGATATGCGACATGTAAGTACGAGATGCGAAAAAGTGGAGAGTTGGAAAGGAAGAATGACTGATATGCTGAGTGACAATGGAGCAGGATATGGATGGATGAAAGGTTTAAAAGAGATAAGATTAGAAATGGAGAAAGAAAAGAGTAATTAGGTCAAATGTGAAATTCATAATACATGCATTGTTCGAATAGTTTATAAGCAGGATCGTAACAGCGAAATGTAAAAACCGGAAACAGGATTTGACATATGTATAGTTGTGTAAAGTCTGGCAGGCTAAACTGCTATATGTAAGCACCAGAAGGTAAAGCATTAATAAATATTACTATTTTTTATTCTTTATTTTATTTTAAAAATACATATTTTTTATTTTATGGAGAAACGTGATGGATTCAATTTTTTTATATTTTCGTTACTTTAGTTAATTTATATAAAAAACTAAATTTAACAAGTCCAACTGTACGTCAATTTGTTATAAAGATAAGTTAAAAATAAAAAGTTACGATTTTAATGGTTTTTGTTAAATAAACAAACTCGTTGAATTTCACAAAAAAATAGGTTTTTATTAACTTTTAGGTGCTGATCGTAGATCAGCTTTATTAACTTCTAATAGATGCTTTATCGGATCGTCGTGAAGACATCTTCTTTGTTGTGTTAATACGGAACTTCCAACGCTGAATAAGTGCTCTACCGAATCACTACTTGGAAGTAGTGTGTTGTATTTAATAAAGAATTTTTTAATATTTAGATCATTCAATATTTAGTCGAAAGCTTTTTCAGACTCGTGTGATTTGCCGCCCGAGCCGAAGGCGAGGGCGGCAAACTTCACACTCGTCTGAAAAACGCTACTTTCGCCCCTTGATGCACAATATACTATTGTTACACTATCAAAATAATTATAGTAGGTCGTTGAAGTATGATGATAATACTGTAAAAAATTTTGACAATTTAGCAATTAGTTTGAGTGTTCTATATAATTTTAATGATCCAACAAAATTATTTTTAAATCTGAATCTAGCTAAATTTTTAGTTCAGCAAAACCGTTCTTTCCATGTAAGATTGTACATTATACATAGTTCCTACTATATACTTACATTGTTAAAACAATTTTGTAATCTTAGAAACTACTGAATCGATTTCAAAAATTTTTTACACTGGTGGATAGCTTATATCTTCCTGAGTAACATAGGCCATGTGCCATTGTGCTACAACCCAATTTAAAAAAAAATTCGGGATATCTAAAATTTTAAATTCTTTAAAAGAGTCGTACTTAATGACTTTTCCTGTTCAGATTTTCCTAATCAACCAAATCTTAAAGTATTATATATGAAATAGGAGTAGAAAAAACTGAGAAATATAATAGAATTCAAAAAATTACTAATAATAAAGGGGTTACCGGTTTCTGTCTAAAAAAATCTATGTAATTGCTCTGATTTCCTCAAATTTTGAGATATTGAGCTAATTTTTTTTTTATGTATAGAGTATCATTAAAGGTAGGTTGGTATTGAATTTGGTGAGAATCGGTGAAAGGGTTGCCGATTTTTGCCTAAACAGTGTATAAGTTATACATGTTATCTTATATAGAGTATATTAAAGGAAAATTTGGCGAGGATTGGTGAAGGGGGTACCGATTTCTGCCTGAAAAATGTATAAGTTATTTGATGGATTGAGTATCATTTAAGGAAGGTTGTTATTAAATTTGGCGAGAATCGGTGAAAAGGTTACCGATTTCTGCTTAAAAAGTGTATAAGTTATAACAAGAAAAACTCTATTTTTAATCGACAACGTTTGGCAATATCATGACGGTTCGACCATTGGTTTTGGTCGGATAAGTTATACATGTAATTTTATTTAGAGTATCATTTAAGGAACGTTTATATTGAATTTGACGATGATCGCGGGTAAAAGGATTCTTTCTTTATAAAATTTTGATTTGTTTGAGAAATGTTCGTGGTTGCTCTAATTTCCGCCAATTTTGAGATATCGGGCTATTTATAATTCGATTATATTCTTCAGTCCTTTCTACCTCTATTTCATATGTAATTCTTTAAAATTTGCTTGATTATAGGAAAATCTGAACAGGAAAAGTCATTAAGTACGACTCTTTTAAAGAATTTAAAATACTAGGGACACCACTAAAAAAACGTGTTAATAATATATAGTACCTCATGGTGACGTGGAAAGCTATTAAAAATATGTGTTTATGAATCATACATTGGCGGATAAGATTAGCTAGAACAAAAATGGAACAACGTAAATAAAGTCGTTTAAAAAAAAAGACGCCCGGGCGAAGTTCGGGTACCCAGCTAGTTATATAATAACGATTTACTTTAGAAATATTACACAACTTTTAAAATACAATATTCATAACAAAAATGTGATTTGTATAATGTTAATTACATTCAACATTATAAGTTATATGTCATTCATATTTATTGTACTTCTTCCTATAAAAGATTTCCGAATAAATCGATGCGCCGCGCTGCTTGGTCGAGCCAGAAACATGGACACCGCGGCGCGGCGCCTCAGTTATTATAAAAATATATAAGAAATAGAATCCATCGTTTCTCCATGAAATCAAAAATATGTATACTTTTAGAATAAAAAATAAAGAATAAGATAGCATTATTTTAAAATTTTTAAAAAGTATACTTTTGGGTGAAAAAAATAATTAATTATAAGTAATTAAACATTTTAATTGCTTATAACAATTAGAATTTGCAATTTCTTAACTTATTTTCCTTTAATTGTCTCCTTAGCTTTAAAATGCATTTTTGAACATTTCTCTATGATAAATGTAATCAGAGATATTAATTTTTTAAGTTAACAACTTTTTCATTTTTCGAAAATTGTATATTGCTTATATTAACTTCCGCAAAATAAATTTTTTGAACGAATAAAAAAATACGTATCTCATTATTTTATGTACATTTCACGTGAAAAAAGTTTTGATCGATTTAAAAAATTATTTCTTGTCTGATTTGACTGGAATTGCACATATGCTTCTTTGACACTCCATACACGTCTGCGTGTGTTTTTCAGGTATCTCGAGAGGAAATAAATTTACAGAAGAAGAAGACCATGCCGTGGACACCTGGGCAACAGGCGCGAACGTGCACGCGGCTTTACTGTTATCAGAGATATTTTTAATTATCACCAAACGTCACACACATTTTTTTCCGATAAACTTGATTTCTTTTTTCGAGATAGAAAGAACCCCTCTGCTCTCCGTGCGTTCTCTATGTCTCTCGCGAAACGTCTCGCCGCGAAGTTTCACGCGTGAAACGATTGGCTGAGAAGTTGAGGAGTTCTTCCGCGCTCCGCTCTCATTGCTTCCCTCTCTTTCTACCACGTGGAAATCATCGTCTCGAGGTGAGCCTGTCGGAGATCTGGCCGTGCAGTGATAGAGAGAGAGAGAGAGAGAGAGAGAGAGAAAGAAAGAAAGAGAGAGACTTGACACGCGCCACGCACACACACACACACACATACACACGCATTCGCCTTCTATTGGTGAAGGTTAGCCATACATTCCAAGAGTATATAAGGGCATCTCTTCCGCACTGATCATGCATTATAACCGGAGGGTGTGACGCGACATCACAGCGCAAGCATCAGTCTCACGATTATACTGGTCCGTTCTCTATTCGCTCGCAGGGTTGAAAAATCGGTGCTTCAACCTTTTGCGGCCTCCGATTGACTTTGCGATCGCGTGACCGCACTTCGCTTCCCGAGGAAGGCTCATTCGTGTTTAAAAACGCATCCTTCGCGCAGAGTGTCGGAGAACACCTCCGCGATAGGATCAGAATCTCTCGACTAGTTCTACGACCGCCCGCGGTAAGAGACGTTGAGTCTTACGAAAGCAAGACGTAAGTTAAGAGAACTCTGACTGAATCTTCCTTATATGATCTTTTCCTTATATGATTTTTTCTAGATCTCGAGAAGAGTGCCCGATCTTTTCTAAAGATACAAGAAGTCCATAGTTGAAGTCGGGTGAAAAATATCACTCCGCGAGCATCCTGCTGAGAGAGGAAATCGACAAGAGAGCATTGAGAAGACGGATCGAGCGCGTACGGGTCGCGCAGCATCCAACATGAGTATTATGGCGACCTTTGTGACAGGATGGTCTTGGATGACCGTTTTTCTATTCTCCTGCCTGCTGAGTCTTCTCGGAGTCCTGCTAGTGCAACGCGTAAAATTCCTATACGCTTTGAGGAAGGTGCTCTATCCCACCGCGTTGCCTCTCATCGGCAACGCTTATCAGCTCAACTGCTCGCAAGAAGGTAAGCCCTTTTCGCGATCGCGACGCGTGATTGACTCCGTCGAAACGTCAAAGTATCGCGATAGCCACCGATAATGAGCCGGTATTTGTATAACATAACGACTCGCTGATGTATGCATTATCACCGTCAAAGTATCACCTGGGCTGATTATTTCTGAAAATAGATGTAAACGATATTCGTCGATACCGCCGTTATCTACCGGATATATTGAAGATATATTGCTACACACGGAAGGAAATTGCGTATAACCGTATGTAAGAATCGAAACGACGTTATTCTCTAAAAAATGAGAAGAATAAAACGTCATAAAGATATCACGGAGGAAATAATAAAAAATACCGTATTTCGTAACTTAATTCGTATACACATAGGATGAGTCGGAAAGGAAATAATTATTTAATAAAAGTAAATCGAAAAGTGCTTCTTTCGCACAAAGCGAGAAGATTGAATCTAAAAATTCGTCTGATAAAGTCACGTACGATTTGTTTAATGTACAATATTTTGTCTAGATTGCCTAATTTACAATAACTATTAATACGTATAAGATGTTTCTTATATAATATATAACTAACAAGTATTAAATGAAACAGCTGACAAATTCTGCTTTGTAACAAATTAAATTTTTATTCTTCATACGTTTCATAGAGTGGTGATTTTCAACAAGCATAAATAGCTCTTTTTTTTAAATAAGATTAAACTAAAATAACTCTCTTGCTTAATTATTTGATCTTACAAGTTTCACATTGAAGCATTTTGACCTAAGTATAATAGATTAAATCAGTCTTTTGACCTATATGTAACGCTTTTGAAAAGCAATGAATCTTTATCGAGGTGAAACATTTGCACTTTTTTAAATGTAAAGGATTCCTTTGTCACATAAATCAGCATAAAAATATCTTGAAAAACGTTAAAGTAAAAAAAACAAGATAAGCAGGATTTATTAGCTTCAAAAAGTAGCATCAATATTCTATTGTTAAGGAACAAATATTTCAAAAGAGAAAAACAGTTGGGTGCGACTTTGTATCTGCTTTAATGATATCTTTGAGAGAATTTGCTTCTCACAGCATAAATTTCCAGTTGAAATTAATAGACTAAGCAAATATTATGTAATGAGCTGTAACATTCGCTTTTCTTTTCTGGGATGGAAAATGCTACGTCAACATTATATCGAGAATGTACTGGCACGGTTCATGGCTATACGATATCTATCTATCTATCTATTTAAATAATTAATATATAAATTACTACGTTATCTCTCGGGTGTTAAAAATGAAGTCATCTTACGCCTTCGAATATTAAAAAAATAATCATTGCGAATTGTGATTAGCAGTCGAGCAGAATTCTTCCTCAATTAATCACTACACTCCATTCGTACGTTGTGATGTAATATAATCACTGATTTATTGCATTGCGAATTCTCGGACATTTTAAATTCTGAATGATAGTTTTACGCTTTAGTGAGTTTAACTCTTGGACCGATCAATGGATCGACGAAGTGACGCAAATTTTGGAAAATTTACGACGAGTTTTATATCTACATTGCTCAATCCACAAACCCGTTCGAGGATTTAACTCGGCGACTTTTGGCGTTTACAAAATTCACGCCGGTAATTTTGCAGCAACGAGAGTGCAATGCAACGAGAGTGCAATGCAACGAGAGATATTGAGGGCAAACACGTGCCGGCCACTGCACCGGCGCCGTGGTCGGATAAGACACCTGCGCCGTGCGCGACCTGATTGAGATAATCTGGACGACCAGTTTCGTCCATTCATGAGTATACTTACAAATTTTGCCAGAGTCATTGCGTCATTGCAGAGCTTTTTATTATGCGGAATTGTTCAATAGGAAAAAATTTTTATTGTTTTTATATGATCACTAATAAAGAAGGGACTAATCACCGATTTTTATTCCCTTGCACGTGGTAAATCTACGTCAAAAATAAGTAGATCCGTACTCTGGGAAAAAAAGACGATTAAGCAACCCACTTTGGGGCCCACGATTAGTAATCAAATTATTTGGATATTGTAACCCTAATTTTATGTGTTTGGACTAGAAATAACACCGCGTAACTAAAAATCGTAATTAGTTATTCTATCTATTTCAAAGATTTTCAAGTTATACTATAGTCAATTCTCTCAATTAGTTCTGTCGATATTCAGTTACGCAAAGATAATTTTCACTTAAGAGGCACTAACCAAAATGTTAAGGTGGTTAACTGTGGGTCAAACCGGTGAAAATTTTTCCCAATATTCGAACGAACAACCGTTCCAACGCAGGTAGAAAATTCCAAGATTAAAGGAAGAAACAAAGATTTTTGACTGCGATGGAAAGACGAGAGTTGGGTGAAGAAAGAAATGAGGGAAACACAAGGAAAATTCGGTTCTAATAATAAGAGTTCTAACGGTTAGAAAATTGTAGCTTATAACTACACTACCGATCGCTCCCTAAATTTCAAGCATAAAAGAATAATACTATTTACAAGGCGCAAACACAGTTCGGACACAGATCAACTTATTTTCGATGTAGATTCACATGAGATTCAGGTGCAAGCGGATCAAAATCAGTGATCCTCTCCTTATAAATTACTTTACATTTATTTAATATTTAGTAATTTAACGTAAAAATTGTAAATAAAATGTGAGTTGAGTGGAGGAGCTATAGGCACACGGAGAAAATTTTATAGTAAATATTACTATGGTGTCGCACTAGCTGCGGCTATAATTATAGCATTAAATGCTATGATCGTAGCACTAAATGCTATGGACATAGTAATTTTACTATAAGACTATAGCATTTAAACTTGTGCGTCTTGATGGTCCGCAGTTGGTGCGAGAGCATAGTAAAATTTAATATAAAATTTTCTCCGTGCAGTATAGGCGTGAAAAGCACATGATGGATGGAGCAGGGCTTGATAGTGAAGTTGGAAGGAAAATATTAAATTGTATCAGAGAATAGAATAAAAGTTAAATTTTAAAGACTAATTCATAATTCATAATTTTTGTGATATATTAACTACATTAATGTTTATATAATAATAATTTGACAGTTTTAAATATAACGGTATTCAGTCGAAGATGTAGAAACCGACGAAAACATTTGGATTTAACTTCAAATCGCATTTCTCTGCTATACATCCTTGGTAACAAGTTAATTTTGTTCACCGTTAGTAACACGAACGGCTAATCTGTAATAGCTTGTAAAAAATAGCTGTTTATACTAAGGAAAAATGCGATGTATCTAGGAAACCTTGTACATGGAGTAAATCAGCTCTTAGACGTAAAAATAAATTTTTATGATAAACGATATCAATTCAATGACAGTTGTTTCAATGATAGTAGTTCGGATTGCACACCTATATCTATATTACTTGTGATCCATCATTTCGTGCTATACGAAGAAGATGTAACAGATTTTCGCGTACACAGGAAAGATATTTCGTATAAAAGACATATATTTCACGTCGCACACTGAGAAAAATGTTTTGTTGAAACAACCAAAATTTTGTTACTGTAACAAAATTTTGGTTGTTTCAACAAAACTTTCTTCAACATTTCTCTCGAATTGTACTCTCGATAACGTAACTATAATGTACTTGACGCAAAAAAAAAGTTCAAGTCCGTTTTCGAACCGTTATGTAACGTTCTAATTGAATGCAAAGTGGCAATATATAGTTTTTCTTCACAATCAGATATATGCTTTCCAGACGTTCAAAGATTAAAAATCATAATTTTATTATACATTTGTTTCCTTGATGTCCGAAAGAATTAGAAAGAGATATAATTCTTAAAACTAGAAAAAGATAAAAAGTTAAACTGAGATTAAAGTTAATCGACATTGGTAGAAATGAACATAAGACAATGAAATTGATATAGATTACGATATAAGAATACAAACAATTATACGTGACTTTCGCGTAGAGATACGCGCGCGATAAAAGATGAGGAAAGGAAAGAAGTGTGATTCGTGAGCTAAGTATCGCAGTTTACCAATGATAATTGCCTGCTTGTCACACGCGTAAAGAAACGAAGACGAAGAAGAAAAAGAAGTAGAGGAAGAATTGGGGTCGAGGTCGCTCGGCCGGACGGCCCGAATAGTGGCGCGTAATTGCATGCGATTTTGTATGGGTGACGCCAACGTTACGTACCCTTCTCGTTTTGAGCGGAAGGTAGAGGGGATAAAAAAAGAGAAAGCAGACGGCAGGGGTTCGAGTAAAGAAAAGAAACAAAAAGAGAAAAAAGGTCCAAGTCCCGGCGCGAGAATCCACGTGGCAGACTGGCCTGTCGGTTGATAATTCCGGGCCAGACTCCGGCCAGACGTTATCCTCGTTCGCGAGAAGGGAGTAGAATCTAGACGCTTGGAGGCTTTCGCTCGGGCATCCACTATGATAGATAAATAGCGCTCATAACGATCAAGGGAACGTTATGGAGCGATTGGCAACGCAGACGCGATTCGCGGATGTACCCATGCTAAAAGTTGTCGTCGGGCAATTGTTATTGACATCGTGCAAGGCGGGATTAGCGTAATATATGTCGATTAACCTTTAGCCTCTGAAGTGTCTATAGAGATTGAAAGTTCTTTTTCTTTCCGATTTTATTTTCGCATGGCACATTGCGCGCTTCCAGAGATCAACGAATTAAAATGGAAATTTTTGAGCAATAACCTGGTAAAAATTAATCAGGCAATTTTGTCAGAGGATAAAAAGAATGTATATATATATATATATATATATATATATATATATATATATATATATATATATATTACTACCGACAGTTAAAACCCGTTAGCATTAATCTCAAAACGTGTGTGCAGTTCTTGTGTAAAATGCGGAATAAAATTACATAATATAGATGGAGTTTTTTTTTTCAGGAAAAAAAATACAAAAACTTGAACGAATAAAAAAAATTGTTTGAAGACTAAATGAAACTTTTATATTCACTTTTTGCTAAAATCCTACGTGCAATCTAATTCTCTTCTATTTATATAACAGACGTGGAATGTACTTCGTGCGTTATGTCATACTTATTCTTCATTCAATTTCGCGATATATCCCTACGGCGGCTCCGGGGGGAATGAGGGGGATGAATATCCGGCCCTGAAATAGGCCGTCAAGGAGTCCTCCACCGTCCGTCGCGTCCGAAGGACGCCTGGCGTCTCATATGCCAAGGTCTTCGACAACACCTTCCGCTCTTTCCAGATCGACGCCTTTCCCTCTTTGTCTGCCTTTTTTCTCTTTCTCTCTCTCTCCCTCTCTCTCCCTTTTTGTCTCTCTCGCTTTTTGCATTCATCCTCCACGTGCGGTATACCACTGTCCATTTTCAACCGGTCAACGTCCGGTCAGCCTCTCGGCCGTCAACTCGCTGCACGTGCAGCGCGATTTCTCTCTTCCTCCATTCTTAATTCTCTATCTGTCCTTCTCCTTCTCTCTCTCTCTCTTTCTCTTTCTCTATCTCTCTCTTTGCTTCTTTAACTGTCTGTCTCTTATCAGCGTCTTATAAAAAAAAGATGTTATCTCGTTAAAATCTATTTCTACTAGACTTATAGATGATTCACTATTTACATTCTCATCTTTGATAAATAAACTATATTTAACTTTTCTTAAGTACTTAACTATGATTTTTTATCACCGTGCTGTATTTTTCTATCTTTACTCTTTCTATTATCATTTCTTCCATTATTTAACGTTCCTTTGATATTTTTTCTTAAGCGATTTCTTTGAATATTAAGAACTGAATATCAAGTTTTTTTAATGCAGTGACTGTGATGTAGACTTGTGCACTGATGAGTATTTTAAAATATATTATGTAAGAACAGATTTAAAATTCATAAAACATAATTTTGTATTAAAATAAAGTAAATTGATAAGATTCCGTTATATAATAAACTGACTCCTCAAAATGGATTAATATTCTTATTCACTTTTATTTATATTATTTCGTATTGATCGCGTTGCTGTTTTATTGCATTATTTTTTTTGTGCAACTATATATACCCGCAGGTTTTTTTATCACGTTCTGGTTTCATTTCTCGTTCTGAATTGATTGCTTGTTCTAAATTGATATTTCTTCCCCTCTTTATTTTTCTCTCTATCTATCTTCCTTTTTGTTTCTCTTCCACCCCGTATCGGATTATACGTATATATTTACATTACTTCTCTGTTTTCTTTCATTGCCATTTTTTTTCTCGTTCTCGCGAAAGTCGCATCAGTAAGAGCGGATCTAGAGCTGCGATAATAACGCGATGATTGGTCAGACACGAAGCTGTAGAAGGTCTATTTCTGCACGACGTCGCGGGTCGGTGACCGCGAGAATGGTTGAAGATGATTCCTCGTGGAAAATGTCATAAATGTAATAATACGCGACACGTGCATATTTAATAGGTATTAAATGCCTCGTCAAGAATATCGAATATTTTCCAAGATAAATCAAGGCTATCAAATATGCACGTGTTACGTATTATTGCAATTATGACAAAAATTCAGCAAGTGTATCCTGTCGAAAATATATGCATTAATATACCTATTATAAAAAATTATTTTTCAATACAAGAAGAGAACGCGAAGGTTTCTTAATCACTTTAAATTTTTTCTATTTTTCTATTTTGACATTTGATTTTTCCATTCATATTTTACACAAGATGGTTTATATATATATATGTACTACAAAACATTAATTTAGAATAATAATAATTATTAATTAATTTTGTAATATTTATGGAACATAATTTAATTAACGTAGAGAAAATCTCGATCGATATTACAAACCATGAGAAATCATCCTCATGATCTTTAAAGTGCATTGGCGAATTGATTATACCTAAAAACTCCGTTGTGCGATATTAATACGAAATTGATCGAACATCGCAAGCGGAATTCCGAGGACAGTTAACAAATTAATCTCATCAGTTTGATATGATTCCGTCAAGAATTGGATTGCACGTGGGTCGATGAACTCGCAGGGAACAATAGACAGAAGTAACGAGCAAAAAAGTTGTAACAGTTATAAATGGTAATAATTGGTAGATTTCTATCCGCGGTTTTTGCTTTTGGGCTTCCAGACCATTAATGCGCATTGATGGGAAACGGAGAAGGCCGGAGAGGCAAGGGAAGGGCGATAATTGTCGAAACTAATATAATTACGAAATACTTCTATTTCCGAGTTCAACTGTAGCGATATCGCGTACAGTAGAAAAAGGAATAATGTTTATTCGTAGCTTTATAAATACAATACACATATTTTGGGTTACGTTATTAAATAAAATTCCTATCGTAAACGGTGGCTATACGCGCGTATGTCGGGCGAAGCGCCGAAAGCATCGTGTATCTAATTGTCAATTATGCGACAGCACAGTTTATTAAATAAACGGAAAATCTAGTAAAAAATTTTACTATATAAGATTGAACTTTTTGAACTTTCACTTTCAGTGATAGTTAAAACGGCTTGGGACACGATTATATACGGATTCGTCTAAAATTTGCTGGGTGATTTATCTGTTTCAGAGTTCTTCCAGAAGCTGGTGAAATGGGCGGACAAATTTGGCGACATTTTTCTGGTCTGGGTCGGTATGCGGCCTTTCATCTTTCTCTACAGAGTGGAGGCTGTGCAACCTCTGCTCCATAGCAGCGTGCACATCGACAAGAGTCTCGAATATCAATACTTGAAGCCTTGGTTAAATACCGGTCTGGTAACTAGCTCCGGTAAGTTGACTCACGTTTCGCCAAATCGCGACCGCATTGCGACGTCAATAAAGATTAAACGTTGACTGGCACCTGTCTTCCTAAGTAAAGCCATGGTGGTCACTGATGACCGACGCTACTAAATTTTTTAAAATGCTTGTAAAAAATAAATTACAAAATTTTAGATGACATTGATATATATATATGATATGATAATGAATATTACTCAATATTTTATTATTATATGATCATAAAAATGAAAATTCTACTGTAGTCCCCAAAATAATAAAACATATAAAATTCACGTGGCAGTCAACGTGTATTAATAATTATGAAATTATCATGTATGTCGGAGCTGTCTTGGATAAAGTATCCAAGACAGACAGCTTCGAATTACGTTGCAGCACTTTTGCGATTTGCATGGGATAAATAACGCTAGTGTATATACAATGAATACTGCGTCGTGAATGAATGGATTCATAGATCGTAATTCGTTTACGAATGAGCGCGGCGTATTCAATTTCTATTCGCCTTCATTCCGTGCATAAAACATCGAATGAAATAATAGATCGCAAGAATCGATGCGGAAATATTGAATCGCAAAAAATAGTTTTGCAATCTAAAGAAGGATTGTCACAATATATATATTCATGTTATTAGATATAAAATTGTTACTATAATAGACAGATTGTTAAACCCATCAAAGAAAATCTTTAACCCGTTGAGGTCACATGGGGTCCAGCGGACCCCAGGCTTTTTTTTTTATATTTTTTTCTTAATAGTATACTATTTTGAGAGTAAAACGCACAAAGTTTTTTTACTCTATCTAAAAAAATTTTGATAAATATTTTTGTGAAAAAAGTCAAATTTCTCGAAAAAAAAATTTTTTTTCTCGCATTTTTTCAACATAAAAAATTTTTTTAAATTATTGGATTATTAAGAGGAAGTCATAAATTAATTCCAGTTCAAGGTTTGAGTCGATACATCAAAAAGAACGCAAATGGAAACTGTTGTGGGGTCCATTGGACCCCATGTGACCTCTACGTTATTTTTAGGAGGTGTGACCTCAACGGGTTAAATACGCAAAATGCCGAGAAACATGTCATAACAACCGAAATCTTTAAACTATAAAAACTGCTGAAATGTTTAAAATAATTCAAGATAAATTAGATATTTATGTGTTTTATTTATCTAATAATTGTGATTATTTAGATATTAAAATTTTATGCACGAGTATGAGGTGGGCAGGACCTTGTCCGATTCATCGACATCAAAACCTAAATTAATTCCTGAACATTACTTTTAACTGTTAATTGCGTATTGAAATTTTTTTCTACGCTCAAACTCGGACAAAGATTCACGTGTGATAGGTGAGCCAGACGTTGAATCATTTTAATATGATTATCGATAATGATTGGCGCTTAAGTGTCTTAGACTAATCAAGCGAAAAAATACTTGATAAAAAAAACCTGTTGTTTCTCTTTGGAATTTAGGTTTAAATTTAAAATTTAAATTGAAGTTTGATCAGAATCTAAATTAATACGCGAGATTTGTAATTTTTGTAAGATCGAAAGAATATCATATCCGGATGTTTACTTTATCTTTAGATCCGAAACTGGCGGCACGCGAGAAATGTGTGCCACTGGGGCCATTCGTAATGATGTTATTCAACTTTGTAGCATCGCGAGTTAAGCAATTCCGATGTTGCAATGTTGAGTCGAATTTCCGAATCGAGCTTAGGTCTTCTCGTAAAAGAGATAAGTACGTATGGGTTTATAGTTCAGAACTTATTTTAAATTCGGACTTTTCGATTAGGATCGAAGCTCTTTCAGCGTCACTACCTAGTGCTCTTTGAAAGTATTTAAATATCTAAAAGTCTTGTATGCGGATTGTAATGTGTTTCTTAACTCGTGGCTACAATGCACGTTCTTAGGATACCCTTTCTCATTTAAATTTCAGTGAACCTTCGTGTTCCGTTGGTATATATTTGCCGAAGAATATACGACCGTTTCGCTGTATACTGATAACGTATATATAGATGTTATCGATTTTGCAGAAGAAAAACATGTTAGCGATTAAAAAGATAATGCTAAAAATATTCATCACTTTTATCGCTTAAATAAATAATCGGCTCTGTTACGTGTTAGATGCAAATTTTGCTCTGCAAGTGAAACCGATGAATTATTTATAGCTATGGCTCAATAAAAATAACGGGCACATCTGTCGATGTGTTTTTCTCGATTATGAATCATAAATTAATGCCAAGTTATTTTAGACATTGCGTTTACTCGTCATAACTAAAGTCACAAGTGTTTTTCCCGTTTTTATGATTATTCGTGAATCATAAATTAATGCTAAGATATTTTAGACATTATATTTAGTGATCATGATTTAAATAACTTTAAAATAAACAATTTTTTGTTTTATTAAAAAAAGATAACTCAAATTGATGAAAAGATTATACGTTTACGGGATATTCTTCATAATATAATCTTTTTCTTCAATAATAATGACACTAAAAGTAGCTATAGTACAATGAGCAGCAGCATGTTAACAAGCAGAAAGTGGACATTTTGAACAAATCTCATTACATGTGAATAAATATTATAATTAGAAAAATAATATTTACCTAACAAAATTTATAAAGTAATAAAATTTATTTAATAAAAGTTATAAATGTCTGATATTTTTTGCCTGTTACAATATTTAAAAAAAACTTGTCTATATAACTGAGTTGAATTGATTTATAGCGTATATCTGAACTGTTTTGCTTAAAATGAGCCCTAGAACACTTTATCGTTTTTCTTGCGGAATACTGTGCTGCATGTTACTGCCTTAATTATTACACGTCGCACGAAATTGCATTGTTTAATTCGCTAAATGTAGCATTAACATTAATAACAATAATGAACAATATAAAGTGCGAGGATCAGGCAACTGCTTAAAATTGCAAATATCGGTTAAATTTAGTTAAGCGATATTACATTGCTTCGAGAATAAAGTAATTATGAAAAAGATGATTCGCAAATCAATCCAGCATTCAGATTACCTTGCCACTAAAACTAGCAAAAAAATAAAAATAAGGATATTACCGTTCGCAATCGATCTTATCTTGAGTTTACACGCAAAAAAACTGTCGAGTACACGAATGCAATGAAAAAATTATACGAAGAGAACTTTAAACTTTGTGCGAGTCCAAAGTACAGTATGTCGAAAATCCGTGCGCACACACACAGATGCAGATGTATTATTTAATTAATTTGTTGTATATTTTAAAGTTGTTGACGTTACTCTCACAATCAGTATTGAAACGTTCATCCTCGTAAAATTTCCGCGCAAATTTTGTTTATATTTTTATTCCGTAAACACGAGAATGCTATCATATATCGCGACGTCGATAAATAAAGTAAAATTCCAAGAATTATATATAATCTAAAAAAAAATTCATCTCGGACCCGTTCCGTTTATCGTATCCACGTTCATGACTCTTGACTCGTTGACCCACATAAAAAAAAAGAAGTGTCAAATAAAACTTATATAACGTCGTATATATGTTACGCAACATTCTATAATCTTCTGATAAGAATTTCTGATAAGAACTATATAAAACGGCTGTATTCCAGAATTCAATGCCAGTGCTGGAAATCTATAGTACACGTAACGCATACCATAGATTTCCAGCGCTGGCCATGAATTTTGGAACATAGTCTTCGTTTAACTATATAAATGACTTTATTCAAGTAAGTTTTAAGTGTTGATTTAACATTTCTTTTTTTTTTTTTACGAGAATAATACTTTTGTCTTATCTTTTGCGCATTATAATGAAACTGCCAATTCTTATTCTTAATTTTGAATACCAGTGCAAAATATCGTTTGAAATACATGTCAACGCCAACGTTCCTTGAATTTTTACGAGTTTTCTAATATAATGGTGAGTCCAATTTTCGGACCATTTAAAGAAAAGAGCCCCAATTTGAACGCGAATTTCTTTTATAATATATAAACTATTAATTCTTCGGTCTCGTTGACGCGGACACAGCAATACACTTATAATATAACTGTCGCAATAAAAATTATGTATGGTATATTTTTCAGGTGAGAAATGGCACCTCCGCAGGAAGTTGCTGACGCCGTGCTTCCACAGTGGCCTCCTTGAAGTTTACTTGAAAACCGTGAAAGAAGAGACGAGCATTTTAATTTCCTGCCTCGAGAAGGAAGTGGGCAAGTGGTTCGATGTTGTTCCTTACGCAAAACGCATCGCTCTCGACATTATATGCGGTGAGTTCAAGAAATGCAATATAAGGAATATCTGTACGCTTCTTCTTGCTATTATCAATAGCAATGATACTTCACATTTATAAATCGTGGTATAATATAAAGAAAAAAATGTTGTTATCAACATCAGAAACTTGATTACTGTAAAGATCCTTGAAATAACTTCTTTGTGTTTAATCTATCTTCCCCCGGCGAATAAAGTATTTTCGCCTTGACACGAGAATGTTCTATTTGCTTCGATTCCATTTGCTTGGACAAACCACGAATTCTCAGATTGCATGGCACGATCGATGTATCTGCGTCTTACGTCTCGGTAACGTGTAACGCCGATTCTTCCGCGGCTGCGATAACTCAATTATCCGCTGCGTAGCTGCGGCATTTGCAACGAGTACCACACGATAAATGCACGATTGACATTTTGTTATTCAGATTTATATATTGGTGGATTATATACTTCAATTAGCAATCGCTTGTATTCCGCGCGAAATTCTTACAAAGATTTGATTTATTTTCAATTTCATTATTTTTTCTACGAAAATTTATAGAGTAGAGATTGCGATGCTGATAGTTTAAATTTAAAAAATCGCTAAACACGTTTCAGGCGAATAAATTACTAACCGATCGCTTTAAGCGCGTTTGGTGAGACGAAACTAATGGGTTTCGGTGCTGAATCGTGAATCACTTTTGGACACGCAAGATCGATTATGCAAGACGTCGATTTTGGGACTTTACTTTTCAGAGTCTTTTGAGAAATTCGAGCCTCTATTACGCGAGATCGAGGTTGAGCCAGTTGAGTTGTCCGCTCTGTTATCTCGTAAAGCAACGCGGATATCTTTACCTATATGTGTGAATTTAATGATTTTATAATATATATTATATTTAGCGATTAATCAATCAATTAAACTTTGCGATATGTGGATCATTAAAATGAAAATTGCTTCCTATGCTTTACATTTCATGCTCAAACAGTTATCTTCGATATTAATTATAAAATAAATGTATAAAAAATTAGATAGAAGATGAGTAGATATATTTAATATAGAAATTAAAGAGAATATGAATATTTTTTTGTATCTTAAGATAAAGAGATTTAAGAATTTTTTAAACATTTGTCCATAGTCTAAAAATACGCGCCGGGAACGAAAATAACTACTCTCAAAAATATATGAATTAAAATATTATGAAACTGCAAAATAACTATGCTAGCGCGTTTCTTTAGGGCAAAATTCAATTGAGAAGAGTCCCGTGGTTTAATACGAGAATTATACGACCGTTATGATATCAAACAGATTTTAAACTAAATCGTCATTTACGGTCCGCGCTGGATCTTGGTAGCATATAATTATTATATATATCTTTTTGTGTCCCATACTTTAGTTAAATCTGGCGGATCGTTAGATTTGTAACTTCTTCGCGGAGTAGATAGTCGTAAGATCGACGACATAAAAATAACCTTCTTCTGCTTGGACTTTGAGATATAAGTTTTGAAAATTGGCGAACTTTCGCCATCACCCGCACCGTCAACGCGCGACCTCGAATCCTCGTTAAAAGCATTCTCACAATCGGTACTTTTCTCGCTGGTTTGCCCTGTCTTGATCAGCAAATCCTTATCGAGCAGATCAAGCCTAGGTTTTGCGAGATCATTCGAGCCCCGATTAAACGTAATTAAATCTGCCATTTATTTACTGTTATAAGACGATACTCGCGAAAATAAACATTTGTAATGTGTACACTTTTACGCGTTGACAATTTTTCTTTAATTCTGTTAAGCTTTTGGTTGATCTGACTTATTTAATACTCAGAATTTTGAATTAGTTGTAAGAAAAGGGATGCACGATCGATTATCGCGCTCGCCGATCGTCTACTGCAATGGTCACAAATGAGCGTTGTTAAAATAAATGCATTGCGAAATAAACGCACGTTTTACACACGTGTTATCTACATTACACCAGCCATTATGTGGATAACAACAATTATCCCATAATGACACACAGTTAACCGTCGTTAATTTTTAGCGCAATATAGTGCACATTATTGTTTTAATTTAGTATTATTAAATGTTATCATACGCTTATGTATAATTATTTATCCATACATGTTAATTATTAAATAGTTGAATTGCAAAATTTAAATTTATCAATCGTGTTACATGTATCGCGATATATATTAAAATATTGCATCATAGATTACAAAATTTCTTTGTCTAAACTTAATTTCAATAATTTAATTAATTAATTTAATTTTGCTGATTTTATTGTAGATACTGCAATGGGCTATAAACTTAACGCACAAAAGAACTACAATGATGAATACGTTAAAGCTGTGGACAGGTAAATTCGCGATTCTTCTGAAATTGCTTTTATTTTTGACGTTTTTGACATTTTTATACAATATATAATACCATTGTACATATATACGTCGAAATTTAAAAAAAAAAAAAATATTTGTTTCCACTTTCCAGAGTCGCATCCATTGTACAGATGCGATTCACAAACGTGTGGATCTCGTCAGATTCCATTTTTAAACTGACCACAGTAGGCAAGGAGCACGACCACTTAATTCGGGTGATCCAGAAATTAGTCGACAAGGTAATTCTTTCTGGAGCGTGTCGTGATACTCTCGGTGGGTTGCCATTACCGCCGAGAGGTGACGATCGTATAAAAACCGACCGGTCTTCGGTCGGATTTGAACTCGGGTCTTAGGCTCGCTAGATCAGCGCACTTGTCTCTGCGCCACGATCGCCACGAGACGAAACAATAATTATCCCAAGTTAAATGAGTCCGGACAGATAAAGCCTTCTGGTTATCTTCAATAGTTACT